GCTAATAGCAGTCATAGCATGGCAGAATGTGCGAAGTATCAGCAAATAATGTTGTGTTGTTTGTAGATTGCAGAGTGGAAAGCTTTGTGTTTCATTGCGATTTTGTTCGCTGTTACTGGTCAGAGTGTGAACTCACAGGCCTCAGGTAATCCAAGCAATTAAACCATTAACGAAAACGATTTATTTTTCGGTTCTTGTGGGAAGGCCCTTTGATCACTTTGGAGCTATCAGGGCTGCAGGAAAATTGACATAAACATAACAGTCCTTGCTTTTGAATATGAATATATGAATATGAATATAGTTTATATCTGAACACTTACAGCCCAGAGGCTGAATTACGGGTGCAGTGTAAGGTTGAGAAGAGACGTCAGCATATCAGGCGTCTCTGGCAGCCGCTTCAGTCTATCGAATATAAACTGTACCTTCCTGCAGACAAAGGGACTCGAAAGAATCTAAACCATATCCTGTTCCTTCTGAGATGAGTTAATCACCATCATGCGAATTAAACAAAAATGCATCAAAAATGCGGGCCTCTCTCGTTAGGTGACATTACAATTGAGATATTATCCCTTCAAAGAGGGATTGGAATCAGTTCATTTACGGAGTTATAGTGCTAAAAACCTGAAAAATAAAAGCTACGTTTTTCAAGATAAGCAAATCACAAGGGTCTTCTTTAAGTAACCAACAAGTTTTGGAGTAAATTTAAAAATCCCTTCCACGCGTGACATCGGTCTTAGCACATTTTCTTTCTAGACTTAAACGAAGACCACAAAAAGCAATTTATTGGTTTTAAAATTTTGGAACCGAGGTGAAGATTAGGTTTCTTGACCAAATGGATGATCTTTCCCTAAGCAGATTGCTCAAGTAATTGGCAGAAGGCAAATACCGCTCCAGTGTGTTTTGGTGCTAGGGATACTCAGTTTGGATCCTTCTACCTTCCATCTGGGGGCGGACTGGTTGCTATAAAGTTAGTCCACCGGTATGGTTACGTGTCCTGTGCCGTTGGAAATCCCCAACACTGGTCGTTTTGGGGGTGTGGTCCCCATAACCTTGTATCACAAGAGGTTAATGTGGTCATAACAACATCGGACAACAAAATCATCTTGCCGCCGGGACAGTTCATGAAGAAAAACCAAGGAGGAAAGTGGGCCAGGGTTCCCGGATATAACTCAATTTCCAAAGAGATTGTGCTGACCACATTTAGCGACCCTTATCCAGTACTTGCAGGTCAGCAGCTACGCCTTTGGTACGGCGAGGATCTGCAAGGTTACACTGAAGTCGACAACGGAGGCAGAGTTTGTTGTGATGTTTATGCTCAGTTTCAAACATAGCTGTCTTTATTATAGTGGCCACATTTTTCTTAAGTTACATTAGGTGCAATAATCAATGCGATGGTCTTAGAATGAACTCTCCCCTTCAAAAC